TTACTACAGCCCTTACATTGTGAAAAAATCCAAAAGAATTTTACAAAATTATAAATAATTTCCTCTAAATCTCGTTTTTGACCAAAAATGACACAAAAAGTTAAAATAAATTTCTAAAAATGTTCTCTAAATGCCCTAATTGTATAAGAACCATGTAGAAAAATATAGAGTTTTGAAAAATAATTTTACCACCATTTTCATCTCATTTTTTAATTTTTGACCAAAAACGACAAAAAAAGTTCACATTATGATAGAAAATGTTATACATAAAAATTTCTAAAAATGTTTTGTAAAAGCCCTAATTCAATGAGAAACATGCAAGAAAAGATGAAATTTAAAAAAAAAGATTTTCAATGATTTTCGTCAAACTTTTTTTAGTTTTTGACCAAATATGACACAGAAAGTTTACATTTTGACAATTATATATAAATATTTTTTTAAATGTTCACTAAATGGCCTAAGTTAATGAGAAACATGGAGGAAGAGATACATTTTTGAAAAATACTTTTACAAGCATTATTGTCAGATTTTTTAGTTTTTTTTTACAGAAAATGACACAAAGTTTACATTTTGACAGAGAATTTTATAAAAATAAATTTCTAAAAATGTTATCTAAATGTCCTAATTTGATGAGAAACATGCATTAAAAGATAACATTTTGAAAAATAATTTTACAAACATTATCGTCAAATATTTTAGTTGACCATAGATGACCCGAAAAGTTCACATTTTGACAAATATTTCATTAAAAAAAATTCTAAATGTTTTTTTCTAAATGCCACAATTTTATGAAAAACATGCAAGAAAAGGTAATATTTTGAAAAATAATTTTTTCAACATTTTTGTCAAAATGTTTTACTTTTTGACCAAATATTACATGAAAAGTTTACATTTTGACATAAGACTATAAAAATAAATTTCTAAAAATGTTCTCTGAAGGCCTTAAATTTATAAGAAACAAGAAAACAACAATTGTATTTTTTCTGCATGTTTCTCATCAAATTAGATCATTTTGAGATTTGTTTTTAGAAAAAAGATTATTGGGGTTATTTTCGGCAACATCCTTAAGTTGTTCACATTTTTTTATGAACATTTCTGGAAACAATTTTTATGAAAATATATGTCACACATTTGTTCAAAATTGTATCTTTTCTGCGTGTTTCTCATCAAATTATAGAATTATGACAATTGTTTTTGAATTTTATGGGGGAATTTTTCAACACAATCCTAAATTGCATGTCATGATGTTAAAACGATGAAACTTTTCTTTTAATTTCACGATTTGTCCACTTCACGATTCGACGTTATTCTCAAAAATGTAAGACTTAAATCTCGTAACTTATTTCTCAATTTGTCGTGGTACTGAAAAAAGCTGAAATAGCCGAAAGAAAAAGAAGACTCCGTCTTATTACTGGTGCTGTAATATACGCACCAAACAGCAACAACCAACTTTTATTTTCTAAACGGAAATACTGCTGTTTCCGGTTCCGTTCGCGGTAAAATGTAAACGATAGTCCGGGAATAAACTGGTACGAGCTTTGAGTGAGTTTATGTTCGACGTAACAGCTCGACAGCCGGCAGTAACACAACCGTTGCAAATCCTACGGAGTTGTTTAAGTTCTGACCACGAACGAACAGTGAGTGTTTTTCGCTGTTTGCATAATATGAGCCAATTTTAAATCCATCTACTTTATGTCAGCGTATGTGTGTGTCTAAATCTATACCAAGGATCTTAAACAAAACACTGTTGTATAAAAATGTGTTTGTAGCAGTTTGAGTTCATCTTATTCATCCACATACATAATCCGTTACTGGTTTATTGAGAGCAAAAAAAGAATATGGAATCCTTCAAACGTGTAGGCACGGTAACTTAAAGTCTAGCCGCAGGTATATGACGTCACATTCAAGCAACGCACGTCCCTACTTTACGTTTTACATTATTAATGATTTTTAAATTAAACTTGGCCCAGTGTAATGTAGAAAAAGTTTTACTAAATAATTTAAATGTATTACTAAATAAAAATGTGTAATTAACCAACTCCTTTAAACATATTTTATTTATACTGTTTTTTGTTTGTTTGTAGCATAATTGTTTAACTCAATACATTTAATTAATTTCAACAAACTACCTTTAATGTAAGCTCAATTGATCTGGAATCCTGACTGGATTTCTTCTAAAGGTTAAGAACGCAATTATTAATTATACAAACTATAAATTACATAAAAGTTATTCTTTCATGCATTATAACAGGATACTGGATGTGTTGCTATAATTACAAGTTGTTGGAGAACTCCGTGAGTGAGACGTTTCCAAAACCTTTCAAAGTAGTATATGTTTAAATTTTTCTTCTTCTTGTTCCTATAAAACAAAAAAACATATCATAGTATAATATTACTACAACGGCAATGGATCAGTGTAGACAAAATAGTTACACTTTTTATTTCTGATTTAATTTGCTTCTTTTTTTCCCCCAATCCACATCAGTAACATCTACTGTATTGCCATGTGATTTCCTCATATAGTAACAGTACTGTGGTTGGTTTCTCAGACTTTAAGGATGAGTAGGTGGGGAGACAGACTGAAGAAGGTTGAGCAGCTGGCTCAGTCCTTTCAGCATCAACCTCTGGCCACACGTTACAAACCTCGACTGTGGCTGTGCCAGCCCTCCTCCACCTGGAAGCTCTTCCCTCGTCAAAGTCTGGCTTTCAGCTTTGCTCGGAGCTGCAAAGAGGTAGAAACAAACCCACCCTCAACCATCCTTTGTGTTTCTCCACCTCTGATATTTTCTGGACAGCTCATAAATATTAATTTGTTTTTTGTTTCCAGGCTGTTCATGTTTTTGCGCTCGAAAAAGAAAGTGCCAGTCCAGGTCAGAGAATCTACCTGGTCACCAGTTACAGTGAGCTGTGGCATTACTACAGGTATGGGTGATAGACAGAAGCCCCGTGGAAATGTTTGATCTTTCTGTTAGATATACTCAATCAAAGATTATTAAGAGAAACTTTTTTTTTTACATAGGACTCACCCGCAGTCGCTCATGCATTGTTATGAGGTCATTCCAGAGGGCGCTGTCTGCAAGCTGTACTTTGACTTGGAGTTTCACAAGCCCTCAAACAAAGGGGCTGATGGCAAAGCGATGGTGGCGTCTCTCATCCAGGTTAGAAATACAAAAATATAAATGTATGTTTCACATACGTTTCGTCAACTGTTGCCTGTTACTCAGTAATTAATTAAGGAAATTTGTTTACTCTAAAAAATGTTTGTGTAGGTGCAAATATGTGTAGGAGCATTCACATCTTTCTAGAAAATGTGTAAAATATTTTACTGTTAAACAGAGTTTATTATGCAAGTTACATGGTATTTAATCATGTAACTAATGAGAAAAATATGGTTTCAAAAATTAAAAACCAATAACAAAAATACAGAAGGAAGTGCAACAGTGCAAGACTTTATGATTAAACCTGGAGCAGATTTATTTATTTAGAGATTTTTTTTATTCAGAGCTGTATTTTTTTCTGTTTGTCTCTTATTTATGATGACAGTATTTCTGTGACAAACTGATGGAGGTTTATGGGATTAGATGCTCTGCACAAAATGTCCTTAATCTGGACTCCAGCACGGAAGAGAAATTCAGTCGACATCTGATCTTTAATGTCCAAAATGCGATTTTCAAAGACAACACACATGTTGGTATGTGTCTAAAGTGTAATAAGAAAACAAAATTAAAGTTTTTTTTATTATAATGTGACCCATTAAATTACTCTGTGGTTTTAGGCCGGTTTATCCACTCTGTGCTTCGTCCAGTCCTGAGCAAGGGCAAAAATGGAAGCTGTCTGGACAATGATGTTGCACAAAACTGTGAAAAAGGGTGGGGAAAAAAAAATCACATATCACTTTGTCTGTTCATCAATAAAATACTAACTTATTTTCTACCAAACTGAATTAGTTCAACTCGTGGTGTGAGAGAGGAAATGGATGGAGTTCCATCGACTAAAAAGCGTCGGCAGGAGACGACGGACCTGAGTTTTTTACAGGTTAAAAACCAAGGTCAGGATTGTCTTTTTGTTGATCTTGGTAAGTATAAAATACAATAACATGTGACATATAACACTTAAAATCTATCCTTTGTTGACATCTTTTATGACATCTTAATGGTTCAATATAGGAGTCTACACAAAGAACAGAAATTTCCGCCTTTACGGGTCGTCTAAATTAGGGAAGAACGCTGCTTTCACTGTGGCAGACGACAACCAGTTTATTCCCAAACCTGAGAAAGGCACTTCCCCTGACGAAAGCATTTTCCTGGCATCTCTGGTCTGTAATGTCAGGTATTTTTTGCATAAATACATTCAACAAAAGGCTTCAAATACAGAATAGTACGTTCAGCCACAGCTTCAGCTCTAACTCCTGAATGTCATCAGTTTCACAGGTCAAAGAATTCTCACCTATGACATTCCAGAAACAAAGGAGTCCACGACATGCAGACCGCTTCCGGGATCAGACACAAAACCAGGTGATATGACCACAAAGGCCTTTGTTTCAATTATATTTTAACTTTACCTCATTTTAACTTCACCCTTTTTCCCCACGTCACGTACAGGTTCACTTACTGGCTGCCAGACGTCCCCTCACCAAGAAGTGGACAACTTTGTGTTAACCCTGGTGAGAAAAGAAGGCAAACAAGGAGGCGAGTACGTTAATATTAATCACAATTAATTGAAGTAGCCCAACATTCCTAAATATGACAACAACAAAAAATATTTTGAATGACACTCATTTTAAACTTAAATTTATTTTCTTTACCTTTGCTTTTTGTCGACAGCCATCAGGCGATGGAACTACTTTGTGGCAGAGCAACTTCTCGTCTACGACATTGCCAACTATCGCTGGTGTGAAAATGTGCAGAGGTTTCACAAAAGCAACAACATCTTGTACGTGAAGCAGGTTTGATTTCCTGCATGAGGGTCCCCAGTCTCCTCCATGTGTCTTATATTGTGCCAAACTCCACTGTAGGATTGTTGTGGATCTCAAAGAGGAAGTGTGGTATCAGAAGTGTCACGACCCTGACTGCAGGAACTTCAGGTCCTCCGGTAAGTTCCAAACCTCAGTTCCTGCTATGGCTATGTTTTAAATCAAAGTTAGACAGGACATGTCTCAGATCAGTGTTGCTCCTGTCACAGGTTACCCTCTGCCACAGGAGATCTGCGTCAGCTACATCATGGCCCTGGTTGGTTTCTGTGTTTATCGTCTACTCTCTTCCTTAACGACAAAAAAGATGTCAGGAAATCCCCAGTGTCCTGTGGGTTTCTAAAAAAAATGTTCGGAACACCGTTCACTGACTCAGGCTTTTCCGTGTTTACTGGCAGGATGAAGAGGACCAGGCTTATGTTATGGACGAGGCTGGAAACATTGATCTCAGTCAATCACCGGACCGACAGGCAGCAGTGGGCGTGGCCAAAAACAGATCTGACGTCTGGGGAGATGACGATGAAGATTATTTACAAAGTCTGGATGACTTTGAATTGGACAGCGGGGAAATCTCTGATCGGCTTCTGCTCAACTGTGTGACAAGGTTTGATTCCCAGTAATATATAGTATTATTCACTTGGACACACACTGTTAAATCCTTTTGGCTGCTTCAGTGTATTTTCCCCCTGGTTATTATCTTTCTGTTGTAAGATACAGTCCACCAGTATGTCATAATTTAAAAAATATATATGTAGTTTATATAATATTTTAGATGTTTATAATTAATTTTATAATTAATTTTAAAAAATTAAAAAATGATTTCCCTTTTTTTCTAATCTGGCTTAAAGTCATTAAAACAACTTTAAGAGCAACTACAGAGAAATGTAATAACTAGAAGCACTTTAGTGTATATAATAAATCTTAATTATTTTAAGTTAAGTGTACACAGCCATAGGTAATGACAGTACTGCACCAAACTGACCGTGGAGTCAGGTATAACAGACAGGAACAGACTGTGTAACAGACTTTGTTAGAAGTGTTTATTTGGAACAGTAGACAAATATATTGTTTTCGCTTCACTGCACTGTTTACCCTTTTTTGTATCAGCCTTAAAAAAAAAACATGGCACAACCGATGGGACGTGTCACTCACAAGAAACATTTCACACCAGTCAGCTGGTGTGAAATGTTTGGCAGGACCAGGTAAATAAATATTTAAAAACATTATAATTTATAAAATGTGACACAAACATTACTGCTTTTTCTGACTGATTAGTAGCTAACAAAGAGAGGACCTTTTGTATTTGCAAAAACAGCGTCTATAAAGATACAATGTTCACCGTTTGCCATGCACTGCCACAAGATCAACAGAAGTTAAAAAACAATAACATTTAAGTCCCAAATGAATTTGAACTACATTGTGCACTTTGAACAGGTTTGTCACTTCTTGGCCTGCAGCTCTGAGAAACATGGGAATGCACAGTGAAAAGTATGAAAAAAAAAATCTGCACTTAAATTTCCAGCCAATTACAGTATATACAGTTTATATGCCTAAACCATAACCAACTGATTAGAAATCTGGTTTATAAATAGTTAATATTCCTTGTGCTGGGTTTCAATTCAAGTCTGGTCAGATATGAGAAGACAGTGTCTGTGAGAATATATATATTAAAAACATTTAAGATCCAACTACTCTGTTACATCGACTTCTCTTTTTCTACTTTTTTAAAGGTTAAATCATTTAATTTCTGTAGAGAACATGGGAATTATTCGCCTACTTCCTGGTACAATTCTGTTACGTCATTCATATGTCTCTGGTGTTGTTTCCCGCCGTTATTTAAACCCCGTTATAATTCCCACAGGTTCCACTCAATGGCAGTGAATGCTTAAAATAAACCTATTGTTGACACGTTCTCGCAGTTTCCGCGCAGACATAAAGGTAATTTTATTTCCAAGCTTTAAGATTATGTAGCCGCCCTATGTTACAATCAATCGATCATTATTTATACGCCGTACTATTCAAATGTTTTTCATTCTAAATGTTAAGTAACCTGAGAAAAATGTTTGGAGAGTTTGGACTTTTCTGACCATACATATTTGAGGAATTACTGGCAGTTAAAACTTAATTTTGTCGTGTTTTCTATCTTCTCTGTGTGAAGTTCCTGTACAAATAAAACTTAATTACTAATTTACCCCAATGAAACACTATGTTCTAGGATTATCTTGAACCCGTTTTTTTTGGCCGACACTGGAGAAATGCTTAGCTGTACAATCAGGAAGTATAACCCCGGGTTTCACAAAAGCAAAAAGAGTGTGACTGGCAAAACACTAAAATAAATCAAGTATCACGTCACCCCTTATTGGTGTGAATCTGAACGACGGCTTTAAACCTGGTTCACATCTTGATTTTGGCGTAGAGTTCATCTATCAGCTCTCGGAAACGCTTCTGCAGCTCCGCCCTCTTGGCTTTCAGGGTCGGGGTTAGGAGACCGTTCTGGACGGTGAACATCTCAGAATGTAGTGCAATGTCTCTCACCTAAACAAGAAAACCGTTTAACAAAGATTTTAGTCTTCAAAACAAAGTGGCCTTAGATTAATAATGAATTCTTGTGTTAGGAATAAAGCAATATGATTAAATATTTAAAAAATGTGTTTTACACTTGTTTTTGTTTGTGACTGATCCAAATAATGAATTATTATAATTAAAAGAATCTCCTAAAAAATGCAATCGTAAAACTCAGCACAGTGTGTATTTCAATCATTACTGTGCATCAAGAACTTGGTCTCTTTCAATTGAGTAGATACTTTTCACATTCTGGGTTGTTGGTAATACCTGTTCAAAAGTCTTCAGACCGGCATCTTTGCCCAATTGCAACAGCTCTTGAAGAATTGCGTCCTTCACTTCCTATAATAAACAAACACAATGACAGTTAAAAAAAGTGTTCACACAGATTTACCTCATGAGATTTTACTGTAGGAGACAAAACTCTGACCTTCTTTTTACACAGCTCAGAGTAGGACCCTTCAATCCCCTTACTCTTGGCCCAAATGGGTAAAAAGTCAGGGTCTGTTACCACTATCCCTACCAAACAGGCCTGGGGGGTTGGAGGGGACAATTGCAGTTAGTCTTCCAGAGTACATTACACAAAGGCCTGTAAATGTGATTTATCAGAGGTATAACCACTGCCTCACCTGTAAGCTGTCACCATGAATGAATATCTGAGCCACTGCCTCACTTCGGCTATAAATGGTTTCTATTTTCTCCGGAGCGACGTATTCTCCCTGCGCCAGTTTGAAGATGTGTTTCTTGCGGTCTATGATTTTTAGAGTACCGTTCTGTATAAACCACAAGAGAAGTCCTCGTCATGACGGGCGCACAATAATCAGATGATGAACCACTCAAATAAACAACAACTTACAGGAAGCCATCTCCCGATGTCTCCCGTGTGCAGCCATCCATCCTTGTCGAGGGCTTCTGCCGTCTTCTCTGGGTCTTTCAAATACCCCTTAAATACATTTGGTCCTTTCACACACACCTGGAGCAGAGAAGAAGACAGACTGAGGAGTCTTTTTTATGACATAATTTAAGGCTGTTGTTTAAGTGAGTTGGAGAAAAAAGTTCAACAGTTATGACACTGAACTCCTCACCTCTCCTTCACCGTTGACTGACAGGTAATTCATTTCTGCCACATCCACCAGTTTGACGGTGTTACAGGGCAGAGGAGGTCCAACGTGACCTGCAGACAAATGATCTCAGTTCAGGTTATATCAATTCACTGAAACTGACACAAAAAAAAAAACACCAAAAGGAGCAGCTGTACCTGCCGTCCAGTCTCCAGGCATTGACATTGTGCACCCAGCTGTGCATTCAGTTTGACCGTAGCCTTCATAAAACTACAGACACACAAACAAAGTTGTTTATGACAAATCATCCAAGTCTACCATAGATTTACCTGACTAAAATCCTCATGCTATTTAGCCAACTATAGTTAGACTAAGACTTTAAGATTTGAAAAGATTAAAGTAAGACTTAAAAATAAATAGTGTGTAATTCATAAGACTAAATTAAAATCAAAATGCACCCTGATTGACTGGGAGCTGACAGTGTTGATGAGCTCACCTGACAGCCCAGAGCCGCCCGCAGGAACGTCAGTATGGTAGGTGACACCGGTGCTGCTCCTGTAATCATGAGTCTGACACGACCACCCAGACTGGCCTGTGAGGGAAGATGCAGGTAATATACGTTGAAATGTGACAAATCAATTTCTAATACCTCATACAGTACAGTTCAAGAACAGAGGTTTCTGAAAATGATGAACCAAAGGAACAAAGAGGCTGTTTTCACTCACCTGCACTTTTTTGAAAATGAGTCTGTCCCACATGCTGTCCTTTCTGACCACACCCCTTTTCATCTCTGACTCCTTCCTCCTAAAAGCAAAATCCAGCACCCACCTCTTCAGTGGAGTGTTGGCCTGACTGAACACCTGTGAAGGAGCAATGAAGCCACAACATCGCAGTGGGTGAGGGGTGGAAAAACTGAGCGTTTAAGCTGCTTTTGATCAGTGGGTACATGTGACACCAACCTTGTCGAACATGCGGTTGAGGAGCCGTGGGACAACAGGAAACACTGTGGGCTGCAGAGTTTTCAGATCGTCCATTAAAAGTCGAATGTCTCCCTGGAAATAACCGATCCGAGCTCCGTGGATGAGAACCACCCCCTGATGAAGAGAGAGCTTCTCAGTTCACACTGATGCAAGTAAAGTGTTTGCACCCTCGTGGCCACAAGGTGGTACTGTTGTTTCGTAAAACGGTTGCTGACTATGCATGTTAGTAGCGACTACACCTACAAAAGTAAAAGTCTGTTATTTAACAGAATTTTACCTGATTACTTCACAGGTTTTTCTTTCAAATATTAAATATTCACAAAATTACAGAAATATTTTATCTCTCTGAAGTAAAATAATAAAAAATGTAACATTTCCATTTTTTAAAAGAAAATCATAATATTAATATTTACATACTAAAACTACATTCACAAATCTGTTATAATTTCACAGATATTTAACAGCTTATTGTCCTTTATAAGAATAAGCTGTTATCTTTATTTCTGTAAACAATTGTGGAATTTGATAAAATAGCTGACAAATTAAATTCACCATATCTATATAGTGAATTTAATTTGTCCAAATGCACATCCAAATGAAATCACAAAATCCAGTTAGACCTGAATCATCAACAGCAAAATGCTTATTTCTGCATCAGAAATAAGACCTGGACTAGTTTTAGTACTCTTCAACATGGAGACAGGAGTTAACTGTGAAACAAATGAGGAGTTAAACAGTTCTACGACATACCTGCACAAGTCTCTCAAACACATGCGCTAAGGGGAGGTAGGAAATGTGAATGTCGTGCTGGTCCAGCATGCAGTGCACCTGCGGTACACACACACAGAAACAAAAGACATGCACTTATTCAGGTTTAAGGGATGGTACTGTACCTCCACCACCCTCTCAAACATATGGGCCAAAGGGAGGAAGGAGATGAGCACATCTTTAGTGCTGGGCCTCAGTGAGACCTGGGTGACAGGTTGTGTGCATGAAGAGGAATGACAGTCTATATTAGAATTCAAAACAATGGAACCCAAGGGATTTTGGTCTTGTAGCGAAAAAGAAAAATCACAATTAGATAAAAAAAATAAACACCTACCTACCTTAAATTAACTTATTCTACTGTAGAAAGAAAATCTTTTTCCTATTGGTTTATTCAGTAGAAAAGATGTCGTGTTTGTCAGACTACGTTGTGCTGCTACTGCACCATTGACAAAAATGACCCGAATAAATTATAAAGCCTTTTCTTGAAGCTATTAAAACAATAAAAACTTACTTTTTTAAAGGAAACAAATAAAAGGCAACCAAAAAGAAAAAGGTGCATAATTGCTGATTATGACGTATGCCACCAAAGAGGCAGAAAAGAAACCAATGACGACAGCTCAGTAGTTGTTGGAATTGTTTAGAAGTGACAATGAGGATGAAGGGATTCAGTGGATTCAGTGATGCAGAGTAAGATCAGGAACCTGTTGGACTTGTTAGCCTGTTACGTTGATATATGTAGCCTGTGTTCGGTGGCTCTTTTGTAAATGAAGAATCTTTCTCGATGATCTTCTTGTTCAGCAAGAAATTTGTATAAAAGCTAAAAAAAGGTTACACACAGTCTGTTGTGACCGATGTTTTTTTCCTCTCACTATCAGTGGAAAACATGTCAGATAAATGGGACTTAAAGCACTATTTTTATCAAACAGGCATAGGCAAGGTATCATTAGAAGAACTTTAAGGAACAATTCAGACACAAGTGATACGAGAACATCTGCTGCAGTAGACGAATTGATCGTGTTTTTTAATTGGACATGTATTGATTTTCTCTGTGGTGTTTGTTTACCTTTGTGATTCTGAGGAAAGCTGCAGTGTTGGAGATTACATTGCAGTGAGTCAGCATTGCACCTTTCGGGTTCCCTGAAAAGCCATTTATATAGAGTTATGAGCCTCAGAATATATATATTTGATGATGCAAAGACCTTTGACACATACCTGTGGTTCCAGATGTGAAGCAGATTAGAGCCAGGTCCTCTGGTTTAGGAGGCTATTAATAAAAGCAGGATCAAAAGCTGAATGAATTTATGAACCACTGTCATTTAGTAAGGTTTAATCAAACACTGTATGGAGAGGCTTTAATCCTGACCACATGACTCCTCTGGTCCAGTGGGGAAAAAGGCCAGTGTCACAGGGCAGAAGACAGGGGCTTCATTTACATTTAAATTCACTATGATGAATGAATGCAATTTTACTCTTTGAAGCTGATCAGAACAAGTGCCTTTCTTTACAGTAGTACGAACTATAAAAGTGCTGATTTGACTCACCATTGGTTTCTGATGGTGAGCTTTACCCAAATCCTGTGAAATACACGGAAATAAAGTGAGTGGTAGAAGTTTTGCAGTAATTACAGGTATGCTTGTATATAATCAAGTTCTGAATACACACAAGTACTGCATAGTCTAAAAAAACCCACAAACTCTAAGTTCGACAGTGTCAGAGTGTTTCTCAGATTATCAGTTATTGGCTGTCACTGCTCTATGGAGATGCCAACCCATACCTCAAAGTCTTTTAAACTCAGAATCTCCACGCCACAGTCCTTTCCACGTGTCACCAGGTCACTGTGGAAGTCCTCCATGATAACAATGGTTTTTACTGATTGTCCTTTCCCATTCACACAGTCCAAAATGATCTGAGCCTTGTCAGGCACGTCACAGATCACCGTTGAGATGACAGCTGCAAAACACAGGTCTCCAGGGTTAAACCACAGCCTTAAAGCACAACAGGTGCACAATGGGTTTTTAAGATACCTTTCTCAATAATGAATCCAATGGCCTCTTGACCCAGGGTGTCATACAGCGGGACGACAACGAGTGAGTATGTGTAACAGGCCAACTCTGAAATGGTCCACTGACCAAGTAGGTCAGACAAATATTACAGTCATGATAAAGATCAAATCTGAATCATTCAGGTTCAGGTTTGGTACCAAGGTCAGAAGGGACAGGTTAGAAATGTAACCAGAGTTAATTTTCAAGCAGAGCAGACAAGCCAGCATCTCCTCTGGACCAAAACCATTATGTGAGGTGTGGATTCATGATGTTATTGTTCAAAATCAACAATTGTAAGCCTGATTTCACAGTAAAATTAAGGTTGTCAAAACTGACACATAAATTGCATTTGGAATCTGAAATTAAGTGTTTGGCCAATGTTGGCACAATTTTACAGCAACAGAAGAAGCCTCTGAACTGCTTATTTTGGGCTTACGAAACAGAATGCCGGGCTTTACAGATGCACTCTATATGGAAGTTAAATAAGGGCGAGTGTGTACTTGTTTACCTCTGGCCTGTTCTGTGAGAAAACACCGATGAACTTGTCTCCTGTCTGAGAGTGTCCTTTGTGAAGAAAAGCAGAACCAAGGTTCTCTGCCCTGTCTGAAACCTGAGAAAAAGACAAACATAGCAGATGGCTGCTGTAGTTTCACATACAAAAAGTCAAAAATACTTAGAGGTAGATTTGAATGTCTGGTTTCGTGTCTCACCTCTTTGTACGACAGCCAGTCGTACGGTTGGCCTGGTTTTCTTGATCCAAGACAAGGTCCATCATCTGCAGGAGTGAAGAAGCTCATATTAACCTTTATTTAGGGGTCAAACGTTCCTCTGACTTCTTCAGGAACCTGTATGTCAACCTGATGGAGGCAGAGCACTCACTCGATACTCTGAGTCCTCGCTGGAACATCTGGTACATGGTGCGTGCATCACTGTAGAAGTAAGTTGGATGTTCGTCACCTTCATTCAGGGCGGACCTTCTGGCACGTTCTTCACCCTACAGAGGATCGACCAGCAATTACTTTATTGACTTTTATGAATAATAATAATAATTTATAATGATCTAAAGAATATTTTAGAATATAAGTAAGTTCTGTAAGTTCTAATTTATATCTTTTTAGTTAGAATGTACAAAGGTTTTATGACAACTGATTTTTTTAATGGGGTTAATACCTGGAGAAATTATAATTTTTTTATATAAAATAACAAAAACAGAAAGTATATAAAGTAATTTAAAATAAAATAAGTGAGCTACTAGATACTATGATTTCTGTGTGAAATTTTCCTCCAAAAAGTCTCAAAAATTCCCATTCTTTCTGATCAATGGATTTCACACTTACAATGGACTGATGAACAGATTACACAATGACAGATGGAAAAAAGGAAATAAATGATAAAAGGTTCAAGCTCCTAGAATCTACGAAGGTGTGGTCCTAAAAACCCTCCTTTTAACATTCCACACAGACGAAGTCCACAGTCCAGGCTTGAATCATGCGTCAGTTATTCCATTTAAAAGGAAGCATCAGAGAAAAGTTGAAGGAGAAAAAAAAAGACATTTTCTTTCCAAGTACTGTTGAGAACATTTGTATATAAACAAATCTCTTACTGGTATTTCCACCGACTGCATGGCCAGATCACATGGTGGTTTGAGGGCTCTTGGCCTGGAGGCAAACCAGTAAGTGGTAATGGCAGCGAATGCCCCCATACCCATCAGTGCATTTGTGGGCAGTCCTCGAACATACTGACGAACTTCATCCAGATCTGGAATGCGCAGCTGTCTCAGGACTTCCTGAGTCTGCATGTCTTCTTCTGCACTGACCCTGCAAATAAGCAGAAAAGACAACGATGGAAAACTTCACTCTTCATTCTTTATAGATACGTTTTTTAGTTCATTTTTAGTCAAACTGGAGGATTAGTTTTGATTTTTTTTTTCAAACTAAAATCAGCAGAGAAAAACTCAGCAGAGAAAAGTTATGTGAAGGTGCAGTTAACTGTTAAAACAGTTGAAATAATTACAAAGAATGTTGCCTTTCATGTGAGAAAATGTCATGAAAGCAGCATAAAGTCTCACGTAAGCCATAGTGGCCACACGGGTTGAATAAGTCTGTGTTATTGTTTAAATTAGTCAGGGACACCAGCTCTTTCACTTTCCAGAAACATTCACTGTAGGTATGACTGTACACACTTCTTAACAGTCAAATAAAAGTTTTATAAAAAAATATGAAACCTTTTATCACTACATCGAGGCATTAACTTTGATGATTTATCACCTTATATTTACTACAAATCTAAAGCTACATTGGGAACAAGAAAGACACCACATTCATCCAAGGATCAGGATTTCAAGCATCAGTTTCAGCCTACAGTGATCAGGAGATCAAAGACAGAAAGTTTATCTTTGACTCTACGTCAGTTTCAATCACCTCAGAGACGTGTCTAAGTTGAGGCTCATGGTTAAACAGTACACCAACACCCAGGTCCTGACTGCTGCTCTGAGTTAAAGTGTATTTAACTGAATAAAGTTATCATCCACTGGAACAGATCAGAGCAAACAACCTGACAATGTTTTCCTCCAAAAGCTCAGTTTCGCTGAGAGTTTCATTCTATAGAATATAACCCAACAGCTTGCAGCTCCTTGTTAACTTCAGTTACTGTTGCAGAGCTGGATATGGAGTATCCTGTTCAACAGCTGTGCACATGAACACAAAGACCCAGGAAGGAAATATGACTCCACATAGATTTCCCATCACGTGCCTCAAAGAAGATACAAGGACATGGACACAGAGACACTGCACACACCGGACTGAAGTCAGTCCAGACAACACATTCCTGTGGAGGACCCACACTTGGTACAGTAGGTCAGGACATCTGGGCAGTGACCTCACTGAGGTAAAACATTAGTCTTCAACTTTGTCTGCGGGCCAGGAAAACTAACTGGATAGCTGAATCTTTGAACCCTATGTTCTATCAAGTGTATTCCTGTATTCACTAGACAGCAGACATTTCTAAGGCTACGGAAAACTTGGACTTTACTTTAAAAATAATCTTCTCTCTTTGACCTGAAGGAAATGACAGTATTTGACATGTGGCTCTTTCTCAGCCACCTTTCACATCTCACAGGTTGGTGCAAATGTACTGCTCTCCAAATGTTACCCACAGATCAACCATCACAGATGTAATAATTGACTTCTCACCTACTTCTATTATTAACGTTTCACCCGTGACACGTTTGACTGCTGCCAAGTGGGCCACAGGGTCAGAAGAAAAAAAGATGAACTAACATTTTAAATGAGTATTATTAAACCTGATTACAGGTTTACATTTTAAATGAGTATTATTAAACCTGTAATCAATCCATTGGATATAAATACATTTATTGTATATTCACATAGGGGTTTTTTTTTACTTAGGAGAAATCAAGATAAAATGCAGCAGCAGGTTCAGTTTAGAGGATTTGTTTTTATCCTTCACTTTCAGGAAGTTTTATTTTACAAATGTAATTGACCTTAACTCGCACTCTTGTGTGTACACCACAGAAAAAAGCATGGCCTGGAACACATGTGGGTGCAGACAGACTAGTGATTAATAAACAGACTGTTTTCAAGGCAGTTAAATGAATAACCATATATTTTGTAAAAGACACTTATACTCACAATTCAGAAGTGTGGGCTACAGAGAGAGAAGAAAAATAGTAGGAGTGTCCAAAATACCAGAGGTGAAATTCGGATGACCACTGGTGTGCTGCAGTGGCTGCTACTACCAGTACTCACTGACACCGACCTCTAATAGACCTCTGAGGTTCTCACCACTATGAATAGCAGAAAACACACCCCTTTCAAACAGCAACACAGACGCATGACACACCAACAGCCACTCAGAGAGCAACCTCAGCAGGACCTGGTTAGATTTTTATATTAGCTCTAATTTTCAAGATATCTGGTAGTTGATGGTCCATACCAGTCTTCAAAAAAAATTGTTCAGTTTTCAAAAAGTTAAAAGATAACATTTTGATGAAACCGTCACTATTCATAGCACCACCTGCAGGAAAGAGGGGGTGTTTATTTTTGTTAAGAAATACAAAAGTAGTTGGAAAATATTCTTTATAAATTTGCATAATGTCAAATTGTCAAATCGATGCCAAAACTAGTGCTGTACTTACTAAATAGGATTGCGAAAATGATTACTCTTATTAAAACACAGTCTGTGTATTCTATGATAAATTTGTTGACTCTGTAGAAGCTGACGTTTACTTAACTGTGATGGGAACAGAGTAAAGTAAACAGCCTGAGTAGTATGTGGACATTGAATCTAGTAAATCTTCAATTCAATCTTTTTAATTTTCACAGATATGGCTAGATTTTTTTTCCAGGAACAAAACACAGAGCTTAGTAACACTGAAATGCAGTTTGACCAGCCGTCAGTGTGGGAACAAATAGCATTAAACCGGTGTGTGATGTAATAGATGAATCTCTGTTTAGCAAAATATGAAGTTAGTATATTCATATAACACTGGTTTCAGAAGATTTTGTTTTTCCTTTTGTTCTATTTAATCACTTAAATAACAACTTTAAGACCAAGCTTTTGATCAACTACTGTCTGTTTTTAAGCAGAAATACCAGGTTTTATATACAATTTGATAAAACAATTACTGAAATGAACATATCATAAAATATTAGTTTATTTTACAACACAGGTTACACTTGAATGAAACCTAGTTTGGAGTAGTATGTTCTCAAACAAGGACCCTCTCTAACCCCCCCTCCACCCCACCACCACCTCCACTCTCCATACTTGGCCTGGGAGAATGATAAGCCAATGGCAGAGCCAGTTCTCCAGTCACCCCACACCTCAACACACACACACACACATGACGGTGGAAAAAAAGAGGGGGGAGAGGGCAGTCAGTTCATCTGACACATAACAGAAGACACTGATTAGTTGGACAGGGTTCAGTGTGAGGGCTAACTCATGTAGCTCTCGACCACAGCCGGGAAGTAACAAAAGGGGCGAGAACTCAAATCTCATGAGATAATGTTGATTTTTCTTTCTTCTCTCCACCTCAAGCAGTTTAGCTCTGAGCTGATTAGCAAGTGTTGAGCTCATAATTGAAGCCTTGCGACCGGGGTATTTGCACACATATTGACACACTAATCCCGTTTGTCATGACGGGGGATTTCAGCTTCCTCCTATAAGTAGTTTAGGTTTCTGATCTCAGATGTCTACTTGTCTGTAGAAAGAATACCAACGTACAGAAAGTAAAGGCCAGGATTGGGTGACATTTCAATTAGCCTGTGTGAAAACGTGAAGTGTACAATTAGGACAACACAGAGATTGTGCTTCTTCTTACTTCATTGTTTTTTTTATTGTCTCTGTACGTAATGCTGCTGCTACACTTGGATCAAAAATATATACATCTATCTACTTTATAGCAGTAGAGTTGGTACTGCAGCGAGTTACTGACTGACTGTAGCTAACTGTGTACAGTCCCATCCCTGTTACCTGGTATTCAAGGAATCTGAAAACGAGAGGTTTTCACAAATCCAATACCAATGCACAAGTTAAAACATGCAAAGAATGAAAAGACTGTATATTGTGTAATATTGTGTAATTGTGTAATATGCAATAACCGGCATCTCTAGCTAACCTGTGCCACAAATTATCAAGAAAGTAAATCTCTTCTTTTGATTTCTTCTTTTAGCTGTGAGCAAGATCATCATTTAAATACATGTTTTCTAGAGATGCACTCTGGTACGTGCGTAAATACCAGGTGCAGGCTCTCACTGACTCACTTGCTAGACTGAAGAACTCTTTCTTACCAACTACAATTAGACTGAGACATTAGACTTTACATTGTTTTTTTAGTTGTTTTAGTTGTGGATCTTATGTTCACACAGTTATTTTCTGCACTCTTTATATCGAGTGTCAAATGCTACCATTGATTTCTTATTTTTATCTCTAGTCATATGTCTGTGATAAATAATCTGGCATTCATGGCAGACAGAAAGTGCAATAAGAGTTTCAGTGCACACGGAAATATGTCTCATTTCCGTGCAAATGACAAAACTCATAAAAAAAAGCACTGAAACATGAATCTTCACTCAGGACAACATCTACACTAAGATCTACAGGGCCTGTGCATTACCCTCTGTGACTTCCTGCTTCAATTCTTTGGTAATGATTACTTTTTTTCAACCAACCCTGCTTGATGCTCTTATCCAGAGGATGGTGGACATGATGAAATTAGCTAACAAGATTACACAAAATAAATTACATTTTGCCATTCTGTGTTTTAAGCACTGCTAAATAAAAAACACGAGTTAAATAAGTTTACCACTTTGGTGTTCTGGATCAAAGCTGCTTTTAGTTTAGGCAGACTTTGGGGAAGGAGAGAAAACAAAAGGCAAAATTGAGAGTTAGACAGTGAGTTACAGTCATTTTGGAGAGAGACATCATTTCAAAAGGCAAAAAGAAAGGACGTTCTCTTCCTGTCCAGTAAACCAGAACTGATGCTGAGTCATTTGACCTGGAAATGAATGTCAACTGTGTCCTAGTACACTGCCAGACAAAAGGCAGAAAGGGTTTGTCTGGCAGAAAAAGGAAGTACGTAGGCATGTCACAATATACCAGGACATTTTGTAAATGGTCACATGGTATAAGACTAGAGACTCGAGTTGAAATTTAGGATTGATTTTGAAAGACAAAGGCCGACCTTTCACAATTTGACCTCACTCAAGACTGCGTGTTCTGCCCCCCCGCCCCCCATGCTCCCTCACCCCATATATTGCACTCTTGAAGTCACATGATCAGACCGCAGAGAACGGTAGGTTGGAGGATGGGTCCTGCAAAGTGGACCAAAGGTCGCACACCCGTCAATTGCTGCACACGCACAGGCAGTGCACATAATCACCACACTGCAGGATAAAGAACACATACGGTCACACTGAGTAACAGGTGGGAAATCCAAGTGACCTGCCGGTCAGATTAAAAAAACAAATTCTGGGATGATTTTAACTAAGATTCACAAAAAAAATCCAATTATTTGATTATTTTTATGGCTCTCTTCCAGCTAACCTGCTAACAGCTAACATGACAACTGAAATTGGTCAATATACAATACAGACATGTTTATATGTTTCAACTAGTACAGTATTTTTTTTAAAGATCATTTTTACTATCCATGTAAACACACTGTGTCAACACTAGTTAAATGAGTAAGGTAAAAGTGTTTTCCATTAATGCTACTTTACATGTTCACACCCTGCTTTGCTTGCTAAGTGTCACAATGTCACAATATCATCATCATTAAATAATCAGCAGAAAACCCTTGGTTTTATTTGCATATTTGCTCTTAAAGCCACAACGCCTTTTTTTAAACTCAAAATGATCCCTGAACAACAACCTTCAAACAAATCAACATGTGAGCAGAGTTTCTTTCCTGCTGTAATACTTTCTTCTAAGATCACTGCTCTGGTCAAACAGTGAATGATGCCAAGAGCATTTCCAGCAAAACGTTCACTTTAAACACTACATTCCACAAGTTCCTATTGGAGAATGTTTGGCAGGGGGGGAAAAAATCATTCAGTACCAAGCGCACCCTGAACTCTCCAACCCTCTAACCACACAACACACACGCACACTTACATCTAAACACATACACATGTCTGGATTAGTTGACTCAGTCAACGGGAAAATGACAGCAGTTGGTGAAGTTTGTGAAATCCACCAACTTCTGTGTGATGTGACGTGAGATACGTCTTTTACCTGATCTGCAATGTGTATTAAAATGTATTAAAATAAACAAGAATCAGAAGATGTGTAAACATGATTTTGCTACAGTTACATAACTTAACAATATTCATGTTAAAGCTAGTTTTGGTGCATTCTTATCAGTTAAATGTTAATATTACAGTTTTTTTAGTCCCGCTAAAGAACTGTGTTTTTGAGAGGGAATCATTTATATAGTATAATCCAATTCTCAGAGGGGAAAAAAACAATCAGATAAAAAAAAGAGTAATCTCTTGAAGTTACTGTCTACTGACCTAATCTTTCTTGTTTAACCTGTTGTAATAATGGAGGGGAAAAAAACACAGAAAATGCAATTATCTACACACAGTCAATAATCACTTCTAACACAATAGCATTTAGTATTTAGTATGACACAATTACTACTACCAGGGACTGTGACCTGAAGTATTCCTCACTCGTTCTTAAAACTACGCCCCTGTCCCTGCGTTATAACATGTTGATGTGATGTCAGCAGGCAAGATGATGTTGGTTGATGTGATGTCAGCAGGCAAGATGAAGATGTTTTGGCACGTGTTAAACGAGTAAAGTTGACTGCTGACTGTTAACATGTTTTTTTAACAATAATCGTTGATTTAAAGCATCCATTACATGTGATCTGGCACAGAGCAAATGCAAAGAATCTAAAGAGCCACAAGTGGCCCTGGAGCCAGATGTTGCAGATACCTGGGTTACTTAAAATCAACCACATCACAAGTCAGCTCATGTCCTCAGGGTGACACCCTTTACCAGGTCATTGAGTGGACTGATGCTTTCCTACAGAGACAGAGCAGTCTACCGGTTGTCTGATCAGTCACATTACCTTCAAGTCTTAAGACAGAGCAGTCTACCGGTTGTCTGATTAGTCACATTAACTTCAAGTCTTAAATATTATATACATACTGTGTGTGTGTATGTATATATATATACACATTTATACACGTGTAGAGGACATACATCTGAAAATATAGATGATACAAATGCCAGCTGAGTTTGGTGGTTGTGTGATTAGTAACCGTGTTATACTGTTCGTGCCTGTGTGGAAATGACAGAAATTCCTATATAAATTTACTACAGGAAATTATTAGGTCAGACACACACACACACACACACGGTTATAATTGTTATGGCGGGAGTGCCACGACACATGTTCTGGTTCCTCTTTGTCAGTTGACACATTCACATGCTGTTGTGAAAACAGCGGCGTCATTTTTTACACGGCTCGGATAAAGTAGAGAATGGACAAAACATTCAAAAGCAAGTATCAAATAACAAGCGGCGTTTTATCAGACCTGCGTCTACGTGTACACGAGTGTTTTGGTTTTTTCTTTTTTTTTGTTTCCGAGGAGACAAACACACACATACAGACACACACTGGAAGAGGAATCGGTGTTAAACCCACAGTTCCATGCAAAAACCACGCAGTTACTGAACAGGTTCCTGATTTTGCCTGCTTACAGACACACAATCAAATCAGCTCGGCTCTATTTAACAGCATCAACACAAAGGAGAGCATGGATAAAAAGTGACGTATATCTCAGGGCTCGCATCCTGCCGTTATCACATGCAACACACAAATGATCAAATAAACAGCGACTTTCACCCACAAGATGGGTTTTTTTTTTTCAACACAGTTGTACTGACCTGGGCAGCAACAGATTCGGACAACTCAACCTGATTCTCGCACAGAAACAGAAGCAGGAGCAGCAGCAGCAGAAAAGGTCTGACAATATGTTCCACCCATGCGGATGTCAGCCAATCACAATCCGCGTGACATTGCTCAAAATTTAAAAGACATGCTGTCATTGGTCAATATTGTAGCGACAGAGACGAATGTAAATCCTAAATATGACATGCAGTACACTTTGCCTAAAACACAGTAGTGGCCACATCATACAAAAACAAACAACCCGTGTTTGTTTTACAATAGGAAAGTCATAAGTTAGCAAGTGAATTTCAAAAACAGTTTGTGAGTCCAGTTGCCTACTTTAAAACTGCCTATGAGATTATTATGATGACCTGGATGACTGAGAATATCCACAAATATAAGCAAGTTAACTGACTTGACATCTGACATCTCACCCATGAGACTCAAAGATCAAGTTTTAGCTGAAAAATATACACACACATATGTACATATACATACTGTATATATTTTTTGGCATTAATTTACAGGGAATTCTACTGGGATTTTAAGAGGTCAAAATGATTTCTTTAATTCAGAAACTCTGAATTTTTCTGAATGACAAAGCGAAGCTTTGTAATTTTCAAAATGATAGCTTCAGAGATTAAGTGTAAATCTGTCTCCCCTGCTGTCTAAAACATTCTTTTTTTATGTATATGTCACATGACAGAATAAACCTGAAACCTCTATAGCAAGAATGGGCAAAACATCTACTGGAAAATAAAGAGTATTCATAACGTTATTATTCCTACATTTATAATGAAAAGGTGATGTGACACAGGGTTGAAAAGAAGCCCTTGAGTAAATGAGCAGTTAGAAGATTGTTGCTAGGGCTAAACTGGAATTCAAGACAAAGACCAAAGGCAAAAGACCTACAGTAATCGATGGTCTTCTAATTTAAAGCCTTTAGTTTGGTCTGCAAAAATATAACGTTATTCTTTACAGAAAACCAACACTGATCTTTAGAGGTGTGAATTAGCAAGAATTTGGCGATGTGATATGTACTGTATCATGATACGGGGGCGACAACACGATATATTGAGAATTTAATTGTAGGAAAACTGTCTGCACAGTGAACGCACAATGCTGTTACATGTTTTACATCAGGTTACTGATGCTCTACATTTGAATCCCTTGAGAAGAAATAAAAGCAAATCAAATTGACCAACACCATAAATATTTGCAACCACATCAACTGCTGGTTCAGCCTTGTCTGTCCAGTGTTGCATTTAATATATCTAACAAATTAAAACATTAAAAGATCATATTACATAAGTAAATACTAAATAAAGGAGAAAGAAACAATGTCCAGCCGGATGAGAAAAAGAAAGAAGGAAAGAAAGAAAGAAAGAAAGAAAGAAAATGCTATGATGTATTTTTTTTTGTAGGTTTTGGATTGTTTTGGTAAATGTCTTTATTAATACTTTCAATTAAATAGAAACATGTTACTGCAGATTAGCGCTTACTGGTTTTTTTTAATCATATACAGTAAATGTGTTTTTCCTTTATGGTCTCTTTTCTTTGCAAGTAGAGTTGTGTATTTTCTAAAATAAACCACTAGGGGGAGTATTTTTTCCATTTTGCCAAGGATATTTAAAGATTGGGACTACCAAACAGAACTATATAAGGGATTAAGTGTACGTCTAAAAATAGCCAAATATTGTGGGAAAGAAAAATCCACTTTTTCAATAAAAACAAAGTGTCTCTCAGATGTGCTCTGTGTCAGAGCACAGCAATTATACCGTTAATAGAAAAAAAAGGAACAAATTATTTATCAATTTTACAGATGTCATGAGATTTTAAACTTAAATTTCAATTCTCCGCATTTCAGTGGGATTTATAATTGCTGAAGCGTGTAGTCTGGAGGCAGATTATTTCCACGGCTTTTGCTATTCTGGAGACCGTGTGAACTGTCGCAGTTTCGGCTCAGGGTGGCGCACCAGGCTAAGGGATTGTGCTGGGGACCCCAAAGGTCACCACGGGTCAGAGCGCCGCGCATGACAACGGGCAGAACCCAGACCTTAGTGAATGGTGATGCTGCCTGACAAGAGGCTGTAGTTATGATGGACATAATGCTAATATCACAATGTAAACGTTTTAAATTGAGGGTGACATTAGTATAGAACATCTGGACAGAGGGCGAGTTTGTAATTGTGCTTCAAGGGGGGAGGGGGCGTAAAAAGATGAGTTTAGATAATCAGTATATACCTGTGGAAATAAAAAACAACTTAATAAATAATAATAGGTATAAATCTATCGAGTGACCTAATCACATTTGCTCTCGTGTTTTACCTTGGTTTCATCTCTATCGAGTGACCTAATCACATTTGCTTTTACCTTGGTTTCATTACACATGTCAAGTCATTAAATATATTCCACAATATATCAAAAATGTCATCATTTTCATTCAGCTACTTTCGCTGCTACTGTCGAGGTAGATGTTCCTTCTTTGCAGTTCCCAATGCAGTGGGGGAGCAGCAATTAAAAATAAAAATAACCTGCTGAATAAATAACAGCAAGAGGAATATAATAAAGATACATACAGAATATTACCCTCATTCTTATATGAACTCCAAAACTGGAAATAAAAAGTACAGGTTGAAGAAAATATATACATTAACGCATGAATGTGGTTTCATGACACATAAATGTCTGCGTTAACGTCCACAGGGCAAAAAAATAAAATAAAATCCGTCACAGTTCAATTTAGTTATTTTAAATTTCACTCAGTATTTGAAAAAAAGACGTTAAAATATTAAAACAGCAGAGTGAAATAATTGGATTTTATGCCCCACTCTCTCGTTTGCGCTTTTCTCTCCATGACGCGCTCGCCGAACGCTTCACATGTCATGTGAGCTTTTCTTTATCAACCTCCTTCTTGTTTTTTTTATTCTTCCTCTTTGCTAGCAAGATCAAATATGTCCAGACAAGGTCAACGTTTTGAGATTAAAACGTTTTCGCCGATATATATATAAAAAGAGAGAGAACGGCTACAAACAGCTTTGGCGCATGAGAGCAGTTTGAATCTGTGGGAAGCAGCGCACACAATAAACCTGTTGTTAACCTTGCTGTGAAAATATGTTTGAAGAAAACAGCCAATTGTTGTATGAGATGTATTCAAGTATAAAATAATGCCCTTTGTTTGAGGGTAAAAAAAAAGTTGAGCAATGAGAGGGTACAAAAGTCCCCTGTGGCATTTACTTGCAGCCTTTGTGCAGTGTGCGCTTTGGCGTCTCCACTTGGCGCATTACCCAGGCCCCTTTAAACGGGATTGTTTCTTTCTTTCTAATGACATTTACCGGATCAAAACATGCTGTTAATTCGATCAGAAAGCTTCACCCTTCATAACAATGGCAGTATAATTTCTCCTAAAGTTTGTTAAGTTGACCGAAATTAGGCAAATGAATAGGGGTCTCCAGGCTATCCATCTTGCAGGTGACGGGGAATAATGCGCGTTCACACCAGCTGCATTCTTCTTTATTTCTCCCTTTCTTTCCCAGCATTATTAAAATTTAGGCCAATGAAACTATTCATTCGTCTGAATAGACATTTTCTTATAGGATAATAGGATACAAATTGAGCCTCTCCAAAGAGTCGCCAGTGGTGGGTAACCCTCGTGTGCCAGAGGCTGCTGGAGACGCTGGCCTTGACGCAGACGACGCTCGTGTGCCAGGGCTAATCACACACCTGCCTGGGAGTCCAGCAAAATAAAGAATGTAAACAAAAAGCTTGCCATCTCTCATAAAAGATTGACGTGTCACCAAGTCGTGTGAGAAACGCTGAGAACAAACGGGGGGACTCTGTGTCTAAAAGATCTCCCCTGAACTTGGCGGAACAGCCTATTAAAGGCTTACTTAATTACTCTAATGACACTGGACAGGCCTTAAACCTCGAACCGGGCTTGGATGAGAGTTAAGATCGCTTGCTGGGATTTGTAAACAGGCGATCGTGTGAGAAACGCGAGTTGGAAGAAAGAGGGCTTCTCTCTGCCGGCTTTGTTTTCAGTGCGCACAGTGCGCCCCGCCGCATCGGGCGATCCCAGCGCGCAGTTCCCGCCTCGGTTCTTACTATGCAAATAATATTCCAAAAGTAATCACGTGTCTTTTGAACAGCCACGTGGATTAACAAAGCAGGTTTGCCCCCCTGCGAGCCAACGTCTTTGGATTTTTACTATTTCTTTAACTGATCCTAAACGCACACATTTATCCAAAGCACGGCTCTAATCCCATGGAATAATTTACACCATGAATGCCAGAGTCCCTTGGATCATCCCTTTATAAAGACCAGGTTTCAGAAGCTCGAACCTCATTCTGCCTCAGCCTTTGACAGGACAACACATCACTTTACTCGCCACCGAAACTCATTTTTACCAGTTTGGAGAAGAATTCGTAGATGGCATCGAAGATGAAGGACAGAAAGGTATGCGCTCGGAGTGCGCTCCAGACTTTATGAGGACAGACCTGCTCTGGCAGCAGGGTTTTCTCCCTTCCAAAAAATGCTGCTTATAAAAGATAGATTTACAAATTTACTCTTAAAGCCAACATTATTCTAGCACTATTTTGTGAACGCTTGTAAATCAGACGCGCCCACTTGTGGCGCGCGTAGCCGGAGCAGAAGGCGCGTTAATTGTTAGTAGGTTCTTTTTCTTTTCTTTTTTACTTTTACACACCATTTGCCAGCAGTAATGTATTGAAATGGGTTACAAACTCTACTGGTGTTAGATCTTGTGGAAGTGTGTGTTTGTTAAGAGCAGCGCAGCCGTGTATTAATGGAAAGACTACAGAGGGCAGGTTTCTTTTGCGCGCTCAGGAGTAAGAAGCGCGCGCAGAGCGCACAGCCAAACTACTGACCACTTAGTGTTTTTCTCGCTCTATTCCACTTTGTTTAGTGTATTTGCTTTAGAAAATGCAGCATAATTATTTTTTTAATGTTGTAAATCTCCATTGTTTTACAGAGAACTCCTATTTCTCACAAAGTCATTGAAAAACGGAGACGTGACCGGATTAACCGCTGCTTAAACGAGTTAGGAAAAACCGTGCCAATGGCGCTGGCCAAACAGGTAACGTGAAATTTGTCACATAAGGGTGTCTTATCTGCTACGGATGATTGTAATTTTAGTCTGTGTTATTTTACTAGTTATTGCGCGCATTAAAATTTGTTGTCAAATTGATTCATTTCAGAACTCTGGAAAACTGGAGAAGGCCGAGATTTTAGAAATGACAGTTCAGTATCTGCGGGCGCTACACTCCGCCGATTTTCCCCGAGGCAGAGAAAAAGGTTTGTGAAATTGTTACATCTTAAATTTCAGCACATTTCATGATATGCGAGGCAGAGAAAAAGGTTTGTGAAATTCTTACAACTTAAATTTCAGCAAACATTATATTAATTTATTATCAACATTTTTAAAATATTGTGCACACGAGATAGTAAACGCTACAGTATTATTTTTTAAAGCGCACGGAATATTTTCCCTTGCGCACTCCTACAAACATTACAGAATACTTCTGCTGCAACTTTGTTGGGGAAAAAAAGTGATTTTCTCTGTAATATTTAATACATAAATACAAATATTCGATATATTTTGGATTTAGGTATTTTTTTGGCAAACGGATCATTTTAGCCACCATTACGCACACGAATCTAAAAATCACCTCGTCCAAATGTGGTGTTTGGTTCTAATCCATCTTGTTTCACTTCAGGTGAACTTCTGGCCGAGTTTGCGAACTACTTTCACTACGGATACCACGAGTGCATGAAGAACCTGGTCCACTATCTGACCACAGAGGACAGAGCGGAAACCAAAGACATCAAGTACGCACGGATCCTCGCCTTCCTACAGTCCAAGTCTCGTGTTGTGACCGAGCCAGTGTTCGGCTCTGTCGCCTCAGTGCCAGAACCATCCGAGTACTTGGGCCAGTTGCACTCCTCTCCGGAGCACCAGAACCACAGCCCCTCAGACTCCGTGTACCAGCAGAGTCCAACGGGACACTTCTCCTGGCACGGCTCGGCCCGCAGCTCGGGCATCTCCTACCCCGCGGTGCCTCTGTCTGCGCACACGCAGCCGCACGGTGGATACTTGTCACCGGTGCAGGGACTGGATCATCACTATTTCAACTTTATCGGTCACACGCATCCAAACACCTTCAGTTTGCACAGTGCGCAACACGCCATGTAAATACCACCGTTTTTTTAAAGTGTTTTTATTTATTATCTGTGAGTGATGGAACCTTCTTCTGTGTCTGTTGTAAATAAATATTTTTTGACTAATGTGTGGTCTGACAGTCTCATGGATTCTCCGCACTTTGAAAGCAGAAAATGCAATGTTTTAAAATAGACAGAGATAAGAATCACGCGAGAAAAAGACGTTTACAAAGGAAACATTTAAGAGCTTTTAACTTTAATTCCAACAAACTGAAACGAAGGTTATGTTAAAATATGATTTGAATTACGTGACTATGGGTATTCATACATATATTAACTACTCCGCAGTATTCTGGACTCACACTCTTTAAACAAGTGTTAAACAAGTGACACAGCATCTTCAGGTTTCAGACATAAGACTAAAATCTGGTGAGCTCCCAGCTCCATGCAGACTTAAACAATTCTAACACTTAACAAACCTCTTTATTCACCCATTCCTCAGGCTGTTAAGTATGAAGAGGGAGTTGGCAGTGAAGTGAAACAAAGATAAAAGAAGACTGCCTCAGCAATTTAAACCACTGGTTTAAAAAACATAGAAAAAGAATCGACATTTTGGTGCAACTGTGGAATCTTTTTTTTTCACTTTAAAGAAAATGCACCGGCTTTTTGTCTCCTATACCAAAGCAAAAGAAATCCAGACAACTCAAATCAAATCAAATCACACAAAACCTGTTTGTGTTTCTTAATCCGGTGTAAATAAACACCTTGAAGTGCTTCACGACTCCTTCTGTCTTCCTTTAAGGAAGATGTATTCAGCTGGAGTGTAGAGAAAAAAAGGCAGAAGAAAAGAAGAGAGGCAGAGAGAAACCCTTGTTATTTTCTCCTGTTTCTACACCAAGGAGCCCCATTGTGGTGCATTTAAAGGGAAACAATCTCTGCCTCCTTGTGCTTCATCCTTGACTGACTGCAAAGAAAAAATAATCGACACCATGAAATCTAAGTTTCTCCCAAATGGGAGTTCCAGAAAACAGTAACTGGAGGAGCTAAGCCAAGAAGTGACATTAAATCTTTGCACAATCCTTTTTTTTCTGTGCCACCTCAACTTCTTCACCTGGGCAGGAAAAATATGGTATTGCAGACGCCCAACCAAAACAATGTCAAATGTCAAACCTATATAATTATATAATGAATGGCTGTATTGATTTCTGGGTGGACAGTGAGATGAACAGATTCATGGATTAATCGCCTGAATGGTTGAATAAACCCACATTAACCAGCCTCTGAACCAGAGAGACAAGCAACGAGAGGCCTAACCGAAAGAGTAGAAGAAAGAAGTACCAGAGGTTATGCAGATGGAAGACTGACAATACCATAAAAGATAGAAGTCTGCGAACCAATTCTTGGGCCCCTTGGGTCCCGGCAAGGGCCAATATTTGTTTAAATCCGGACTAAACATAAGAAGAAAAAAAACAGCTAATGTGCAGCCAGCTGAGAAAGAGTTGAATGCAGCACATCGCATGAATAGTAATACGTGGAGGGTTCTAAAAGAAGTACTACATACACTGTATTGTCATAAAAACTGGGCCACAATGGTCAGTGGTCAGACTGAAGGAGGTTTATCTTTGCATTAATATGACACTCTGAACATAAACAGACTACTATCATAGAATTTATCATCAGTCCAGTATAAAAAAAAAGACAATTTCTGTCACACTGGAACCCTTTTACCTCTAGTTGTTGTAGTTTCACACACTGGAACCCTTTTACCTCTAGTTGCCATCAGTTGTTGTAGTTTCGGGTCATTCTCTCTGCTATTGTAACGATTTAAAGATTTAGTAAGTGGTTAAAAGAAAATATACAATAACGTACACAGCAGGTCGTCCTTCTTTATTTCATTAATATCTTTTAAATAAAAATATACAACTACAAAAGAGCTCAGATCTGTGTGACATGCTGTGTGAAACTTGTTTCAGTCCTCATTTAAAACTGCAAAACCCAATTAGACAAATATGTTTTGTAAATTTGGGCTATAAAAATAAAACTGACTTGATGATTCACTGAGTCTGTCTGTGGCTTCATCAACAGTTTCTCCATCATCTCTCTGCTGGCTCACCTCAGGATGGCCGTCTGATGTAGTGTACATCATGAAAACATGCCGAGAGAGGGGTAAGATAGTGGGTGATGGGGGGGAAATGGGGGCCCACGACGGTGAGACAGGGAGAAACGGCGGAAAAACTGGGAGAAACAGTGTGACGGTGCCATACAAAATGGGCGGGGGAGATAAAGGGATGAAGATCATTCCCACAGCAGATACCGCTATCTCACAGGGTTTAAAGGGCCCCCTTTCTGCAGGAGCCCCACCCTCTCCTTTACCCCCACCCCCTCCCCCTCCTTCCCCCCCCCATAACGC